TTATTGTTATTATTATTATTATTATTATTATTTATTATTATTATTATTATTATTATTATTATTATTATTATTATTATTATTATTATGGGTGTTCTCCTATTCATCAAATTACACTATGATATTTAAATCTCACTAAACCAATTAAATTTGAAATTATCTATGTTTCAGATTGAGATTTCATGGAGAATATCATGGCGTCGATCAGTGTCATCAGGCTATTTCTGTGATGACAGCGCTATAGAAAATGGAGTGTTAAAGTCGGGCGAAGGGGATCTAGACTGTGTCAGCCCGTGTTCGGGAGGTGTAGATTTGACTTTTTATTGTACAGACTTCAGTGTTAGTGAAGACTGGTCATCTGGAGTCAACACCGTTACATTTAGTTCAGGAACTCCTTTGTTTGAAATGAGGTATTTAACATAACTTTAGTTCTAGGCCTAAAGTACTGTGGTTGTTTTCGAAAAAAAACGTAGTTCTTACTACGTCTGTATGACATCACACACTAAGCCTAGTGCAAATGTGAACTCCATCTCCTGTGCCTCTTTTTACAAATTAAGCTAAAGATTAAAATCAAATTCCGCAATTTTCCTTAATTTTTCCATACAATGTACTTTCGTATACCAAATCCTGACAGCCTAAAGCTTATTGATTGGTTAAGGTCTTATTCACATTTTTTTTTATAAAACAAAGATTAATTAGAAAATAAAATAAAATAATAGAATAAATGTTAAATCATAGCAAAAGTAAGAACCTTTAAGCAAATATTCACAAGTACTTTAAAGCGTTAAAATTTAAACAATCAGATCCATGATTTAAAAAAAAATTATTAAGAATGACTTATACTGCAACGGATGCCATTTAACTTTATTCATAATACTTATTATTACATTGTAACACACGTAGTAAGACTTGTCACATTCTCGGTTACATTTAAAACATAAAGTATTAAACAAAAACAGCCTAAACCGAAAATAGAATAATTGAAAATATAACTGACAGTTAAAATACATAGTTACCGTACTCGCGCGAATAAGCGCCCCGTTTGAATAAGCGCCCCTTTCGAATAATCGCCCCTCCTAACGTGAACATTTCCTTAAGCGCCCCGTTTGAATAAACGCCCCCTCAATAACTCAATCAATTCTGGAATGTGGATGTTGGCATGATTTGAGGTGTGGAGTGGAATCACATTCTCCTTTAGTCAATATCAAAGTGAGGATATTTATCTTGAATAGATGAGAGCTCCCTGGACAGACAGTATATTTCCAACTTTCATCTTCTTATATTTTTCTATAGCCTATTCCTACGTGCTTTTCCGACAATTTGCACCACACATTCTCATGTGAGTTTTCAAGAAAACCTGCATTGATCATGCAATCCTGCTAATCTCAATCGGCCGATGGCCAACAAGCTCTAACCACCACCACTAATTTAATCTGCTATTCTGCTGTTATGTAATAATGTATTCACAACATTCTTGTCATGAAAAGCCATGCTCTCCGGATCTTCATTTCCGCCGCACAACCATTCGTAATTTGCGGTTTCCTAATGTCCTTATATAATCATTTTTCATTCAAAATGTGCTTCTTGAATTTAATAGGTTCTCATAATAACCCCTCGATTTTCAATTATTTCCATAAGCACCCCCTCAATTTCCACTCTGTTTTGATAAGCGCCCCGTTCGAATAAGCGCCCCGTTTGAATAAGCGTCCCTCGAAAAGTGCAAAAAATATTTTAAGCGCCCGGGCGCTTATTCGCGCGAGTACGGTAGTTATTTAGTTATAGTTAGCTATACTGCTAATCCTCAGTTGGACGTAGCATCCCTGGTAGCTACATGGAAGCTCTATCTGGTGCAAATCTGCCTGCTTGAACTACGCTAATGTTTGGTAGCTCTCATCGTTACCTTTGTCGTCCTCTACCTCTTTTCACCTCAATTCTACCTTCCATAAATATCTTCTCTAGACAATTGTGACGTTTGATGTGACCAAAGTATTTTAATTTGAGTTTTGAAATTATGTGTATTAGCCAGTTTTCTTCAATGCCCAATTGTTCTATTACTGATTGATTTATTCTTCTGTTCCCGCCACGAAACGACCATTACATCTCAAAACATTTATGGCAACCTTCACCATTTCATAGACGATTAGGATCGCTTAAAACGAAAATGTAGCTATCAAACCATCTAACTATAAGTAAACAACTTCGTTAATTTAAAAATACATAAATATGTACAACAGAAAATAGAATGAAACACTTTGAAGTCAAATGTCTTAGTGTACGGTAACCGTGCAAATATGTATTATTGTTAAAAGTTAATTTAAATTCAATCTTACCGTTAATTATGTTTATAAATCACATTTGGACACCATTTATTCCCAGATCATTTTGTTTGTGTCCTGGCACACCATTTATCCATATGTTAAAATGCTTGGACATACCTATAATATCGGACCTCTAAAAAATGTCATTTTCGTGCCCATGTCTCATCTCGCATGAAAGGTGGGGCTATCGTTAACCATTGCATTAACATCCGGCTGGAAAGGGGATTAAACTGGTCTCAAAAACTTTCTTTTCAGAAGAAGGCGACCATAGATTGAATGAAGTGAAAAGGTCTGACCAAACCATGTCGTGTAAACAAATTTAAAATACAGTTAAAACTAATTTTAAGGCTGATGTTCAGTCCTTTTAGGATTTCCATGTGAAGGGGCTACTTGTCCAGGGTCGTTTCTTCGAACTTTTAAGCCTTGAGGTCATGTGCCAGCATTGGAAAAATCTTATCTATAATTTACCAGTGGGGGTCTTAAATTTTTTAACCGCACTAGGGGACTCTCTGAACACCCTGGTCAAACTTCATCGTAGGTGGAAAAACGTCTCAGAAAATTGCACATCTTGTAGCAATAGAGAAACGCTGGCACATGTCCTCAATGCTTGTAAATGTTCTCTGGACCAAGGCTGCTTCACATGGAGACATATAAATCATATTGTTAATCTTTTCCAGTCTGGCTGCAACAAACTTGATGATCCGCCATCAGTGTATTCTGACTCTGAGGCCGGCATGTTTCATCAAACAACAATTCTCCTTGATTGTATATCCAATAACCTCATTCTTGATATATGCGTCCACTCCCAAAATCTGGAAAAGCTAATAATTTTGAAACTCAATGTTCCCTTCGAATTTGGAATCGAATCAGCCCACCTTCGAAAAATGAACAAACGCTCCTCTAATTAATGATCTTCAACATGCCAACCTCGTGGTCAAAACACTTGATTGTCTTGAAATTGAGTTCAGGGGCTATATATCACTGTGCAAATGTTATAAGACTTAAGAATATTCACAAAATGTGCAATATTAATCAATCTTATTATAGTTAAGTATTTCGCAAACTTTAAATTATTTCTTCATTTTCAGTCTATTATGCTAAAAAAAACCAGCCAACTTGGATCATTCCTCTGTTTGAATGTCCACTAATACACTGTAGGGATCACTTGTCCTGTCCTTGGTGGTACGTTAGGGGGCTTGACGTGTTTGGTTGTGATTTGTTTGTGCTCAACAACATGTCAGATGCTTAGGCGTATTTTTGATACGTTTGTTTAGCTTTTGGGCGTGTGGCCAGGGACGGGAAGGAGCTGCGTGGACCCTTCTGGATTTGGACTTGACACCCTCCAATCCCACTAGATCCTGGGCGGGGTGTATTGGGGTTGAAGCCATTCTGTCGATGTAAAGATGACACAATACGAAACAGGAGGAAAAATCAAATTCGATCCCCGAGAAGAATGAGAATTTATCAAAAATCTATAGATGATAACATGGATCGAGTTTTATTACAAAGTGCGACAGAGTTTATTAAAAAGTGTGACAGTTCATTTTATTACAAAGTGCGACAGACAGATGTTACAAAGTGCGACAGCTCAGTTATTACAAAGTGCGACAGACTTTATTACAAAGTGCGAAGATTATTACAAAGTTCGACGCAACAGACGTGTCCTTTTAGTAGTAGTAATTAATGGAATTTTTGAACCCTTGCCGAAAACCCAATTATAATAACTAACCTCACTGTGTACCGTATTTAAACATGGAGGATATGCTACAGCTATAAATGATTAATGATGATTTTTTCCTCTAATGGTGAAAGCATACCTGTTATTAGAAATAGTAGTAGGTCAAAACATAACTCTGGCTCAGTGGCACAACGACTATGCACTCTCATGCGGCAGTCCGCAGGGCTCGATCTAACACCCTGACCAAAAGACTTTGTTGATACACAACACCATGTGTCTCTGAAATCGACTGTAAGGCATATATCATCTGTCTCTTATACACATCTAGATGTGTAAATAATAATAATAATAATAATTCAATGAGACTAATTAAAAGTAATTTGCGTTCTGTTATGACAAATGCTCATTTAGATTGCCTCATGATGGTTGGATAGGTGAAGCAACCTCGACCATGACAGCGTGGTTGACAGATTTAATGTAAAATTTCCAAAATATAGATTTTCACTTTCAAGAATGAGGATTTGAAAATAAATTAGATGGTTACATTGCATACTCTTTGTTTCTTGCTTTATTCAAAATGTTTTGGTTTTGGAAGCTGATTTCAACATTAGAAAGCATAGCCTACATAAAGTGATATTATAGTAACTAGATGCCTATCAAATAAGTAATAAAAAATCGCAATAATTCATCAAATACCCGTGGCTTCCAGGGGGCTTAGCCCCCTGGACCCCCACCGGGGGCCCTAGGCGGCCCCCAGGCCTCCATCCAAGTGAGACTCGATTCGCTCCACTAGCCCCCTCCCCCCGTCGGGGCCTTTAGCCCCTCCGTTGGGCAGGTCCTGGCGCCACCACTGCCGAAATACCCGTTGTTTTTGTTCTAATTTATTTTTCTTCTTCAATCCTGTCTTCCTATTTTTTTTGCAGAGTTTTTCTGACCTGCACTTTGGTCACTTTCCATGCTTGAATCATCTTCAAACATTGTCCAAGCAAAGTCAATGTTAACGATGTGCATTTCAAATTATGACATCATTCTACATATTTTTAATATTTATACCAGTCATAGTTCGAGTTTTCCTGAAGTCGAGTTGCTTTTTGTGAGTTTTAACTTCATAAATTTCGGTATGATTTCATTTTCGTTTTTCGTGTGTTATTTTACGCTTGACTTTTTAAGTGAGTTAAATTTATTTATTTTTTTTCTTTTTGGAGTTTCAACATCACTTTTTATTAAAGCAATTAGGAAAGCCCTATGTTCTGTTTTACAAACAAACATAGTAAGTAAGTTTGTGTTTTTTTTTTCCTTACATACTTTTTTTTTCTATCATTCTGCACTGGGTTATTCCACCCGCAATTGGCCACTTTCAAAGGTTGGCTCTTTTCCCAAAATTTAGAGAAAGCCCTATGTTCTGTTTCACAAACAGATATAGTAAATTTGTGTGTGTGTGTGTGTTTTTTTTTTATTACATACTTTTTCTCCTATATTTTTGCACTGGGTTATTCCACTGGTAATTGGTCATTTTCAAAGTTTGGCTCTCTTCCCAAAATTTGTCGAAGCATAGACCATATATCAAGGACGTCCCTCCAAATATTTAGTGCCAATCTAACGTAGGGGTGTTAATGTGAAGACCAATTAAAGGGATTTAAGGGCAAACACTCTGCATCAGATATTTAAAAAAACTGGTCAAATGATCTGAATACAACTTTTGAGAAAGTTTACCCAAGTTACAAGGAAGACGTTATTATGTGTTGGTGATCCAGTTTAGGGTGTAAATTTGAAGGTCATTTAAATTTCTGACGTCACAGACATAAATATATCAAAAACTTACTTTAAGCAAGAATATTTAAATTAGTTAAAATTTTCAATTCAAAACACCAAAAAATATATAAAGTAAAAAGTACTTACACAAAAATACTAAGTAAAGCACATAAAATAGAAAAGATTATATGAATTATAAACCATACGAAAAGCAAAATACTACGAAGTAAAAATCAGTTACTTCCAAAATACAAAAGTTAAAAGATCTATTTAAACAAATCATAGTTAAGTTCAAAACACAACCTTATGATATGAATCAAAATACCATAATATTCAAAAATTCAAACAAAACAATTTAAGCAAATAGAGTTGGAGAAGATATGAATACATAAATGCAAATAAGCAACTCCATATTTATAGACGTAAAATACTTAAGAGATTACAGATTCAAAATAACAACTTCTCGTAATCACGAAAATTCCCATTTTACGCGTAAATTTAAATAATGTGAACCCATTTTAAGTATAAATTTGAGAACTCTGGATCCATTCTTCAAAAAGCGGACTCATTTAAAATGAGGTTAGACCCATTTTTTTAATAGAAAAACTATGTGGGACTGGCTAAGGCATTGGTAACATTAGTTGCGTAGAAAATGGCTTAATGGAAGGGTGTAAGCTGTATGATACAAACAGGGACATGTCAGCTAAGGGACACCAAAGTTAAGCAAGCAAAGTTAACAGGCTGGTAAAGTCTGCTTAAATGATATCTGGGGATAGCTAGGAGCATCATAGTCTTGTGCAACTTGTCTATGGCTAGATTAGTGCAGCTTGAACTCCGAAAATAAGCCTAACCTTAAAAAAAAACTCAAGTGCTTCAAGCGACTGAAGTAAAAGCTAATGTGTCGTACGTCATATTTCATTTGGAACCAAAATGTATAGTGTGGTACAAGTAGTGATAACCCAGGAGAATGTCACATGCATGACTTCACATGTGTATGTCACATGGTATAATTATGATGCGGACTTAATGTTCGAAATTTCATTTTATTTAACAATTTACTTGAATGTATAACGTGTAAGACGAGGTGACACTTATTGTAGCTAATGACGGATTATTTTCAAGAATAACATTTATTTATCATTATTCTATTTCATGATGTAAAGATTTACTGGTGGCGATTGGATAGGTAGTCTTATTATCGGCTCAAATGGCAGGTGGTCACTCCCAATGTCTGTAAATTTGACGAGGAGACAGGATACTGGAAGGCTGAATTCATCTCCAATTTCCTCTATTACACCAGTTGTTCGGCTTCAGTATGGCTGCAACCATACATTGGTAATTCCAGGTAAGAATAGTTGTGAACAAGTGGTTTTATTGGTTACAATTTTAGTTATCATTATTATTATTATCACTATTACTGACATTGCAATTATTATTATTCATATTATTAATATTGATATGAATTAATAATTCATATTTTCAAATTATTGATTTTATTTTTACTATCTGACAATGCGACGGTCAGTGGAACAGCTGTCATTACCAATCATAGCTCTGGTGATTGTCACTTCATGTCTATCAATGGTTCTGACAATCGCAAATTCAATCAAGTTCCAATGTCTGGAGCGAGGGTGCATCCATGTGGTTTTGTGTTGTGTTTTCATGCGAAAAGCGTGTTTGTTATAGTCAGCCCATGCTCTGCACACTATAAAAAAGGCTATATCTATTCATATTTCCTACTCCTTCTGGTCCAATGGTGTCCTTCCATGTAAGATGATCCCTTCCTACAAGAAGTTTGATTTTGTCCTCTTTAGGGACAGATCGAATAATGCCATCAAGGTCCTCATAGAAGACTTCCTTCTCTAGTGCATCCGCATCAAGTGTCGGTGCATAAGCACTAATAATGGTAGCGTAGCGCTTTTCTGCCAATGGAAGACGCATAGTCATCAATCGTTCATTCTTTCCATCCGGAGTTTCTGAGAGCCTGCAGAACAAGTCGTTTTTCATGGCGATTCCATCACCATGTATTCGTCCATCTGCCGCTGATTTTCCTTTCCAGAAGATGGTATAACCAGAGCTCGTCTCTTATACACATCT